CCATCAGTTACACCATTTTCTCTACACTATCCCCGAAGGGCAGCTGTGTCGACACCCCACCTCCAATCTTCCACTGGGGAGCCTGAGGCCCAGAAAAGTGATGTGACTTGCCCGAGGTTGCATAGCTAGTGAGGAAGCTGGGCCTGGCGCCCGCTTCCTCTCTTCTAGCTCAAGGCTTTTTCTCCTAGGTTTAACTGCCTCTCAAATGAGACTACTGACCCCAGTCTTACCCTGCCGGTCAGGGCTCCAGTGAGGGGACAAGACGCCTTAAGTATTACGGTGGTTAGACTCACTAAAGTGCTTTGGTTTTTCCAGGAAAAACAGGTAATAGATATCCAAGGCAAGGAACTTTAGTTACTTTTCCAAACTCCCTTCCATAGCGCTGGGGTGGTTAGGTGGGGGAGTCCTCGGGAAATGCAGGATCTGAACACCATACACACTTTCGTCAGAAATTTAGTGTTGACGCAGCAGGAGGAGGCCAGAGCCTCTCTCATTGGGGTCTTTGGATGTTCACTCCCAAGTCCATTATCATCAAATTCAAGATGCTGTCCCTTCTTCCCCTTAAGCGATTTACTATAGAAGCAGCTGGCTTTCTGAGCTGTATTTTGAGGACCTCACACTAACCCCTGTTCTCTTAATCTAGCCTTCCTCTGCCTGGCTCACGTCTCTGCAAGCAGACTTACTAGAGCCAGTAGGAAACGAGATACCCACAGACCCAACGCTCGGATCGCATATCCAAACACGATGCAGAAATAAACAATAAAACACAAGCAATTTGCTATAAAACAACATCCTGAGTTTACACAGAAATGATAGAACATCACGAATTGTTTATGACGACGTGGGACATTGGCTGGCAGTGTGGGCTGTGAAGCCGTGATCCTTTGTAGTTGAAAAGGTAACGTCTCTGTCTACATTAAAGGGGAGTGTCCACGTTACAGCCTCACTTCCCCTACGTGGTGGGAGGACCTGTGACTCAGAGAAGATTTATAACCCCAAGCGAGGTTGACGCTCCTGCGAGCCCGCTCTGTTCCCTATTATGACGTCATGTCAGGTTTGGGGTCAGGCCACCCAAGAGCAGAATTGTTGTCTTAGGGGTGGACAAACCAGCTGCAAATTTTTTCAAAACAACTTTTTTTTTTTGAGAAGATGAGGTTGAGTTAGACGCGCCTCTTCTGGACAGGAATTATACATGTATCTGGAAATAACCAGCAGGTTTGTCATTAAGACAATTGAGAGTTTTTGTTAGGAAGATTGCAAAGTGACATCGTCTGAATTTTTACCCACAAATGTTGATACGTATTTGCTGAGGTGGAGAAAGAGGTATTATAATACCTCTGCATTTCTGCCACCTGTCCTTCTACCGAGCCCCTCAAAATTATCCTGTGTCAGTGAGGGGCTTTGTTTGGCTTGGCACAGAGGAGAGAGGCCTGGCTTTTCTGTGTTCCCGTGTGACGTGTGGCCGTGTTGACGTGTCCCTCTCTGTGTAAGCTGGGGCACAGTAAAGACGGGGAATGGGTGGTCTCCTGCTGGACTTTGAACCTGTTTCTTACTAGCATGGTGTTGGGGCTTAAGATAATTGTCTTTCAAAGTGGGGAAGCCTTGGTGAATAGGCCGATAGAACATCTAATGTTCCATCAGGAAAGAACAATGAAGAAATCCCTAAACTCTTCTGGTCTCAATTTCGAGATGAACTCGCCTTTCATCATTTTTCAGTCCTGTTTGGACTCGGGAACTTAAAAACACTCCACCTGTGGTGATTTTGGAAGCAGGTCTATGGAACTGGGGTGGCGGACGACACCGGCGGATGACACAGGCAACCGAGTTTGCGTTAGCGCGTGTATGGGGTCTCCCGAGCCTTGCCTTGAGCCCCAGGACGCCCAGGTCAGGCCATCGCTCTCCGGGAGCAGCACCCCTGATGGGATCACCAAGATTCACAAGCAGCATTAGAATCTGAAGCCCAAAGCAAAGCTGCTTAGTCACCACACACAAAGGTATAATACCTAGCACTTGCAGGGCATTTTGCACAACCCTCTGGTGGTATCTGTGGCTGCAGCAAGGTCACTATCACGTGCTAGGAACACAGGCGTCAAGCTTGAGGCTAACCTATGACCAGTATAGGCCAGGTGTCCACCTGAGTTCCCCAGCCGGGTTGCCTGGCTTTTTACTTAGGAGCGAGCTTCAACCCCTGGGGCTACCTAGTAGCCACCTGTGTCTACGATGTCTGCTTTTGCATTTCAAGTTCCCCATGTTCAGAATAGCAATTGAGGAGGAAACAACAGATGAGGTGTTGTGATGGCACGTCTGGAAGAGATGAGTTAGAGACAGCTTTCCCACATCATGGAGGGAATTCAAGGATGAGAAGCCCAAAGTTTGCCACTTTCAGGAGAAAGAAAACTCTGGCCAGGGCAGCATGAACCCCTAGCATGGGCAGAAACACAGATTTACTCCCAGGCAAACACCACGACGGTTGCCCTTTTCTGGATCTGAACCTTGCTATGTTAATGCTTCTACCTTACACTGAATTATACGGAGCCGAGCAGATTTCAGACAAGGAGTCAGGCTCATGGGTCTGCATGTCAATTTCAAATAAACATTTCTCTGGCCCTTTTTTGGTAATGAAATGGAAATATGTTCTCTGACATTCCCTTTTCCTTCTTGGCTTATCCAAGATGGAACTCAAGAGGAGACCAGAAATGCCTCAGCCTGGTCACGGGAGGGCGCACTTTTGTTACTGAGGCTGACGGCTTCAGCCCAGTGATGAGCCTGCGTTCCTGGGGCCTGAAGCTTCACTGTAGGGTCAGCTCAGAGGAGACCAGGAACACCACATACATCAGCACATAGAATTTGTGGTTTCATTACAGGAGTCATCAGCACCTGGTACAGTAAGAGATTTTCAGCTTATTTAGGATTTTTTTTTTTTAAGAAAAAACCACAGGACAGTCTCCGTGCCAAGTTGTTCTACGACGTGGCTCACAGCAACTCAGTGATAGAGATTTTAAATCTCTGCAGATGTTTCTATCTAGGGTTACTCCAAGGAAAACACCAAGGCCCAGTGATGGCCTCCCATGGAAGCCAGTCCAGCCGGTCACCCGGGGCTCAGGCAGTGAGCCAGCATCAGTGCTAGTAACACAGAGGACTTCACCTTTGACAGCCCTGAATATGGGTCCCATGAAGTGGTCAGTTTCAGATCAGTAACCAAGAGGAACACACAAACTGGAAAGCCTGCACCCTTGGGGCTCCACTTCCACACCCACACTGTGCAATCAACCCGCCCACACAGCGCTTGAGCCCAGGGGTGAGCCCAGGGCCAGGGGACCCTGCATGCGGGGTGAAGGTGGAGGTTCTGAGGGATTCCCTGCTTCACAACACGCACACACACTTGTTACTCGAGCCGGGACAACCTCTGGCCACACTTGAGCCTGTTCGGCCCCCACAGAGTTGGCTTCGGGTCTAAGAACTGACTTCCTGGCGGGCTGCGGGCTGTCGGGGCCCTGTGCTGACGGAGCTCCCCAAACTTCCGCTCCTCTACCGAGTTCTGCAGAGCTTGCTGGCTGTTAGCCATCTGGCGTCAAAGAGCATGGACGAGCCAGTGTGTAGGTTCTTTGCCTGGGGGGCAGCTGGGCCGAGGGGCTGGCTAGTGGAGATGAAAATGGGATCCTGGAGTTCTGCGGTGTGTGTGTGTGGGGGGGGAAGCCTGGGCGCTGACCCGCAAGGAAGGTCAGCGCCCTCTGCTCCCCGGCCGTAGCCAGGCAGCCCCTCAGCCCTGCCCCGGGTTCCCATCGGGAAAACCGACCCCATTGCCTCTAAGGGAGCCGTAGCAGGATGAGAATCTTAACGTGCAGCTCCTGCCAGCCAAGACCTGCGCGTTGGCACGCGGTTAACCCTCTGCTGTGTCCAGGAGCCTGCGCTGCGCGCTCTCTGCCGTCAGGCGCCTGTGTTTTCTTGGTAAGGAGGCTCCGGGCCATACATAGGGCAGCTGCAAAGGTCTTCCATGCCCGCAGCACTATGGCCAGCAGAGGCGTCATGCCATACCAACAGCCTCTCCTGTTAGGCACCAACACTTGAAGGTCTCTCAGTCAGGGCAAATCCCCTGCTCCTGTGAATTCACGAAGTTAAGAGCCGAAAGACGCGGCCGGCTGAACGGGCGCACACTCGCAATCCACAGTCTTTGGGACACAACCCACGACGGTCCCTTCCAGCTCCATCCGTGGCGCCGCGAGAGACTTGACTTTGAGCTGAGCAGCAGCAAAGGATGGAGGAGCCGGAGGGGCCAGAAGGGGGCGGGGGGGGGGAACACGAGGGGGTGCAGCGGCGCCTCACGGGAGAAGGTGGCGGGAGAACGCTGGCCTGGGCTACACGATGCAGGAAAGAACATTGCGCCCATTCATGAAAAGGTGTCAAGCGTGGCTTGAGGGCCACGGAAACCCTGCACTGGTGGGTGAGAAGCCACGTCTGTGTCAGCACGTGGGGAGGGAGACTTAGGGGAGCAAATATCCCACCTACAGGCCAGGCCCGGGGCACGGAGGCTTCTCTTCCTGCGGAGCGCAGCGCGGGCGGCGGCTCCCGCGTGGGGCGCC